TTTTCCAAACGGAGCTGAAAAAGAAAGTGGTTTGTTGCTGAAAAGGTTTGTGTGTCAACCAAATGCCATTCCAACGGCGAGTGTAACATTCAACTCATTCCTGTGAATAACCGACGGACGCAAATCCACAATCAACCAAGACGAATCATTCGCAAAAAAATGAACGAATGCGTGGAAAAAAAATCAAGACCTTGTGCGCGCGTTTTAAAAAAATCAATATGTGCACCTTGGCACCCAGGCCGCGGAAATGCCTGTGTTTCATGTGCAAAGATTCGGAACAAAGTCAGAAAAGGGCCCAATTCAGAATATCATCTCCGGCAGGACATTTTGTGTATGGAGGGTCTGGATGATTTTTTTCCTCAGTTGCGACAAAATTTCCAATGTAAATTGCATTTTAAATGGAAGGTGATGAAGTTAGAGCACATGGAAGCTATCTAATTATTCACAAAAAAAATAAATTACCTGTTTTTTTTGTATAAATAAGGAAGATTTGGAATTTATATAAATTCATAATAAAACGAGCAAAAAAATATTTTTTTAGAAAAAATAAAGGAATAAATATATTAAAATATAAAGAAAACAAACATTTATAAACATTTTTTTCAAATATAAATATTTAATATTATATTTTCAAAATACCAGGGCAAGATTTTCCACCCCCACTAATTTGGGAATAATTCGATATACCTCTATAAATATCGATAAAAAAATAATAAATTAAATAATTTTCAGAAATTTATTTTATTTTGAAATAATTCCAATAATGGTAAGGAAAATTTATATGCGGAAAATTTCGTAATATTTTTTAATATTATTTTTAATTTAATGATTAAAAAATATATTATAATTAGGTTGTATTTATAAAATATTATTTCGATATATATATATATATTTTATATATTTTTAATTAAAAATTAAAATAAAATTAATATATATAATAAATAATATAAAATAATATTAATATAAAATTATTTTTATATAATTTTTATATAAAAAAGATATTATTATTATTATTATTTTATATTTTTAATATCCGAATAATTTTTATATTAAAATTCTTAATTTTATAAATTTTGGTATATTATATGGAATAATATCTCGGTTAAGGAAAAATTTCGTTCCAGGATAATTCCATATTTCATAATTTAAATTCATATATTTAATTAATAATATATAGTTTTTTCTTATACAGAGAAGCCTTCACACAGAGAAGCCTTCACTGTGGATTTCCACTCAGTGGGTGAGGAGATGGCAGCAGGAAAAACAGCCTAAGGCTAGGAAAAAAAACCTGCTGCATGGAAGACAATAGCGGGAGCCAAAATTTCCAATATTATATAGTTTTTTCTTTATAATTAAAAAAAATATATATTATTTAAATAAAAAAATTCAAATCCAATAATAATTTCCAATATAATAAAATATGTAAGCCGAATTATTTGGAAAATAAATAACTTTATCCGACATCAAAAAAAGGAGGACCCATTTTAATTATTCCCAATACATTATAATTCCTATTCAAATAATTAGAAAAGGAGTAAAACTAACAACCACAATAAAAAAAAAA